ACTGCTTGGTTCCGCTACAACACTTTAACCTATAATATTTTATAAAATGATATGATATGGTTTTTTGGTATGGGCGGTCCAACAGAAGATTTAAAAAAGCCTGGGCTTTAGGCTCCATTTCAAATGAAGGCCCCAAATTTTTAAACATTATAAATAACTCATGTAAAAAAAGCCTTATAAAAATATAAATCCAATCAACTATTTTAGGCCCCATAATTCAATCCAAACATTTTATATTGTAAAAAAATTTAATAATATAAAAAAAAGGACTAAAAAATCATATCAAAGCCACCAAAAATTTTAAAAAATCAAATCATATCATATCTCTCTCGGTAAATCAACCAAATCATCTCTCTGTCTCTCTCTCTCTCTCTCTCTCTCTTGGTAAATACAAAAACAATTATATTTGTTTATCTCCCTCTCATTATACTGAAACCAAAAAAAAAAAAATACTCTTCTAGACTTCTTTTTCCCTCTCTTTCTCTCACAGTGCTCACAACTCTGTGATCACTGCTCAGTGAACGTTACTCACACACATATCACTTTTTTTTTTCCAAGTGCTACAGCGGAGAACTCAATCACACATCACTCGGCTCCACTCCATCTTCCATCAACTCGAGTTTTCATTGCAACATAAGGGACATAGTTTAGAGCCAAAAAGCCAACATTTAAGATCATTCAAGTGAGGTTCTATTGTTTCATAATTTTAAATTTTTTTGTTATATATTTTTAACTATACTATATATTGTGTTTATTTGTGTTTGTTTGGTTGTTATATAGTTATAATATATTACTAATATGACACCTAGAAGACAATCAAGTGGATACAAAAAATAAAAAAAAAATAGATCAACTAATAGAATCTCAAAAAGGATCGCTTGATAAATTTGTCATTAGTAACAAAAATAATGTAATAAAAAATTTAGATGAAAATTTTGAAAATGAACAAGTAGATAATGAAATAAAAGAGAATAAAATAAAAAATATTGAATAAAAAATAAGGAAATAAAAAATATTGAAGTAGAAAATATTGAAATAAAAGATATTAAAATAGAGAAAAATGAAATAAAAAATATTGAAAAAGAAAATAGTGAAATAAAAGATAATGAAATAGAAGTCAATCAAAATCTTAATGAAACAAGTGATTATAGTCATATAAATATTTATGATCCAAGACAATGGAAAAATATTGATATGAAATTAAGAGATTTATTAGTAGAAAATAGTCCAATTAAATATAATAATTTAAATTTTCCTCGGGAAGAACACTCTAGACATTTTTCCATTACATATTATATTCGTAAATTAACAAATGGGGAAACACTTGATAGAAGATGGCTAGTATATTAAAAAAAATTGAATAAAATATTTTATTTTTGTCGCAAGTTATTCAATATGAATTATTCCGCAAGTAAACTAGCTAATGAACGAACAAAAGATTGAAGAAATATTGGTGTTAAACTTAAAAATCATGAAATAACTAATGAGCATATAACTAATATGAATACTTGGATTCAATTAGAAACAAGATTGCAACTAAATAAAACAATTGATAAAAGTATCCAAGAACAAATTAACAGAGCGAAAGAATGTTGGCAAACTATATTAGTAAGAATTATTGTCGTTGTAAAGAATCTTGGTAAAAATAATTTAGCTTTTCGAGGAAAAAAATGAAAAGATATATCAAGAAAATAATGACAATTTTTTAAGTTTAATTGAAATGATTACAGAATTTGATTCGATAATGCAACAGCACGTTCTTCGTATTCAACAAGATAGAATTCATAACCATTATCTTGGACATAACATACAAAATGAATTGATAAGTTTGCTAGGAAATGAAGTAAGAAGCAATATTATTAAAAAAGTTAAAGAAGTAAAATATTATTCAATCATACTTGATTGTACTCCTGATGCAAGTCATCAAGAACAAATGTCTCTCATATTACGATGCGTAGATATTGTAATAAGTCAAATAAAAATAGAAGAATATTTTTTAAAGTTTATTAAAATAGATGATACAAGTGGAAAAGGTTTATTTGATAAAGTTATAAACGTAATAAGTAATTTTGAAGTAGATATTAATGATGTACGAGGACAAGGATATGATAATGAGTCTAATATGAAAGGAAAACATCAAGGTGTACAAAAAAGGCTACTCAATATAAATCCTAGAGCATTTTAAACACCATGTGGTTGTCATAATTTAAATCTAATACTTTGTGATATGGCTAACTCTTGTCTCAAGGCTATATCATTTTTTGGAATAGTACAACGTATATATTCATTATTTTTCTCTTCCACAAAACAATGAAAAATTTAATAAGATAATATTTAAGGTTTAACTCTTAAGCCATTATCACAAACACGTTGAGAAAGTCGTGTTGAAAGTGTTAAAGCAATAAGATTTCAAGCTCCAAGAATAAGAAATGTATTATTGCAATTAACAGAAACTAGTGAAGATCCTAAAATAAGGAGTGAAGTTAATTGTTTAGCAACATATGAAATTGAAAATTTTTAATTCTTATTGGGCATGACTATTTGATATGATATTTTATTTTCGTCAACTTAGTTAGTAAATATTTACAATCAAAAGACGTGCATATTGATATTGTTATAAATCAATTAAAAGGTCTCATTTCTCTTTTTGAAAAATATAGGAAAAGTGGATTTACAAATGCTATGATTTCATTTGAAGAGATTGCATGTGAAAAGGGTATAGTATCTATATTTCGTGAAAAACATAGAGTTCGTAGAAAAAAATAATTTGATGAAAATATTGATGATGAGGTAACACAATCTATTGAAAAATATTTTAGAATTGATTATTTAACATATATAATTGATCAAGCTATTTCTTCACTAAAAAATAGATTTGAACAATTACAAAAGTATGAAAATATTTTTGGTTTTTTATTTAACTTAGAAAAATTAAAATCATTGACCAATGATAGTTTAAAACAATATTGTTTGGATCTCAAATGTTTCTTAAAACACAAAAATTTTTCCGATATTAGTGGCTTAGATTTATTTTTAGAACTAAATGTTTTAAAAAAAAATTTACAAACGAAAGAAAATACTCCAATTGAGATACTAAATTTTGTAAAAAAGTTAGATTATTTTTCAAATGCATGCATTGCTTATAGAATATTATTAACAATTCTTGTAACAGTTGTTTCTGCGGAAATAAACTTTTCAAAATTAAAATTGATAAAATCTTACTTAAGATCAACTATGTCACAAGAAAGATTAACTGGATTAGAGATACTATCAATTTAAAAAGATATGATAGCAAAACTTGAATATAAAACCTTAATTAATACTTTTGCAACTCAAAAAGCAAGAAATATTAATTTTAAATAAAAAATATTAACACTAAACATAGAAGGCCTCATTTAGAAGTATCGCTTTAGGCCCCAAATTGTCTTGAGCCACCCCTGTTTTTCGAGTCTCACAAGAAGTCCCAAGTAACTTGGAACATCAAATCGAGGTAAGGGTGCTGAAACTAAAAAATGCATAGAACCTATTTGTTGAAGATTCCTCGAACCAGAAAGGAGCATGAGTCGTGGTAATACTTTAATCCCTATGAGGCAATACGCTAGAGAAAGTAGTAAGATTCAAGTTTGGTGCATCAAACAATTAAGAGTATTAGATTTTATGCGATAATTGGGACAAAAATTAATTCATAATAATATTAAATAGAACGATAACTATAACTTTTTATTAAGAAAATTATTTTTAGAAACTTAAATAAATAAATGAACTTCAAAAAATAGACTCTCTACATAAAAATGAATTAAATGACTATAATATTGATTAGTAGGAATTGTCCATGCCTAAAGGCACTATTCAAAAAAACAATTGCAAGCAATTATCAATCCTCAAAGGCATTGTATAACACAAAAAATTGATGATGCACAAACAGTCTCGTGCAAGATCAACAGTCGAGTATGTGATAATGTATAATTAATGGTCAATAAATAAAGTAACTAATAGCAATAATGTAAATATTGAGTCAACACATGGATGTATAGTTGTTCGATCCAAGTGATCTACTCCATTTTGGGAAATGACAACGGTGGCGGGAGGATCTTTATTGATGAAGTAAGGACACGAGAGAGAGAGGGAGAAATGGTTAGCTCTGGAAGAGGTACGATAGCTAGGAGAGAGAAAAACTATGTGTATAGAGGGGTATAGAGGTAGAGCTTAATGTGTCCTCTCATGTAGAGAGAATTTATAATTTATAGGCATTTAGCCTTAGTTGAGGCAGTGATGTGAGGGTAAAGGCATTAGTCCTTCAGGAGGACAACTATAATAGGTAAGTGTAACTAAAGGTAGTCTTGATCTTCGAGAGTGGGTATTCTGATAATTCCTCCCTACGTGCTCTAATTCTTTTTGGACTCTTCGGACCTTAGGCTGGGTCGAATTCACGAACTGGGCTTGACCTTCCTTGTGGCTGATTTGGGCTCCATTGATTGGTTGGGCCAGTCCCAGTAGGAATTGGGCTCGTCATTTGCCCCTATCCCCCAAGCCCTAATTACTTGTGAGAGAAGAGGGTTGAGGGCATTATTGAGCCTCGGGATAGATAAGGGTTCCTTGTTACCCATGGTAGTCTTCAACTTTCCATTTTTGCCTACAAAATTTTTTTCCCCATTTAGTATCACCATTACAGGGTACCCGTTGCATTGACCATCATCCCCTATGTAGGACCTCTATTGAATTTGAAACCCCCTTTTTTTTTTACAGGGCTCTTTCTTTTTTCACCCCACCAACTATCAAGGGAGATTGAGAAAAAGAGAGGAGACGAGAAGGAAAATGTCGAAAGGAATGTCCATACTGGGTGTATCCATTTTGGAAATTCCGTGGATAGCCTCATGAGCTTCTTGAAAGCGAGGCATGGAGGCACTGGTGCCCATGGTGACACCGTTATGGTGAGCCAAACTAGAACATATTTGGAAACAGATGACCCAGCAACTGTGGGCGACACCAGAGTAGCTCAGCTAGCTAGTTGACTTCATTGGAGTGGAGAGCAACGCCAGAGTACCGCCGGCAATATGTGACGCTCTTGGCAGCCATAGGAGTGCTACAATGGCAGTAGGCGACATCCTCGCGCAGACCCAACTACCGAACAACGCCAGCAAGGCGCTGGGTAAGCAACAGGCAATGCCCGGCAGGCAAGCAGTAGGCAAAGCCAGGCAGACGCTTGTGCTAACTGGGCACTGGTTAGGCAATAGGCAACGCTTTACAGGCACAGGCACTGGGCACTGGGCATTGTGTGCTGGCTTGGAGTAGTAGGCAACACCTTGGGGCATAAAGCTTGTCTTAGCGATGCCATGGTGGCCTGGGCTACGCCAGAGGATGTATGTGGTCTGGCCAACGCTTGGGAGGCCTAGGACGTCGATCGGAATATCAGAAAATCAAGAAAAAATGATAAAACTTTGAACGACCATAATTTTGCGCTCGGTTGGCTGTTTGAGGCAAAAAAAATTTTGAATATAGGTAATTTTTTTAGATCTATGACATTTAAATCGGAAAAGGCGGTTTGGGCAACAAATTTCCCCAAAAAATGCTTCTATCTCTCTAAATTTGAGTTTAAACATAAATTAGTGAAACCAACAGCAGTGTGAAGTTATGCTCTGGTAGGCAACTATCAAGCTTTCATGGGCGGTGAGTTAGTGTTTGGGGTTTGCCAAAGAAGGAGACTATGATGGTTTTTGGCTAGATAGGAGACAAACCCATTTTCTTCAATCTTGTTTTCTCCTTAACATTTTCTCGATGTTGGTTCTTTATATTGACCTTGTCTCTAATTACAGGATCCCTATTGGCAGAGCGATGGTGGAGGCTCTCTATGCTTTTAAGGTGGCGTCTTCCACTCTTCCCAAGAGGGCAAGATTTGATCCCCCAGTACATTTGTACTCTGATCAAGCTGAAAATTCAGGAAAATATTCCTCACTTCCACAGCTGGTTTCTACTATTTTAGGTCGTCAATCGGACTCTTTTACAGATGGTTTTGAATGACAGAAGTTCAGCCACTTCGGTGAGATCTTACTTGTAATCCTACTTTCGTTGATAATGGAGAGATTTGACCAAGTTTGGTCCCGTGGTTTTCCTTTCACCTTGAAGGGTTTTCACGTTAAAAATTATTGTGTTGCTTGTTGTTGGTTTGGGTTGCTTTTTGTGTTTGTTTGTGGTTTTTGAGTATTCTCTATTGATTTGCACATAAAGGGAAAGTCACTAGTTTTTTCCAACACATTATAGAAGAAGATCCCTTACTATTGGTGGCATTATATCCAAAAGGATGCATTGAAGTACGCAAGATAATGTGACAAGTTTCAAAAGTTCACATAAATTCCAGGACAACCATCTTCAAACCTAAGTCCCTTGACAAGTCCCTAGCCCTTTGTGTAATGAGGGTTTGACATTGTAGGTCTAATGCCCAAGGCACCTGGAAACAAAACATTCCTCAATATTGTGATCGACTATTTCACAAGTAGGCTAAAGTCGAGCCTTAGCAAATATTTGGGATACAGATACCCAAAGGTTTGTATGTAGAAATATCATAACGAGGTTTGGCATACCTAGGGCCTTGATATTTGACAATGATAGTAGACCCTTCAAAGGTTTCTGCCAAAACTTTGGGACCCAAAACTTCTATTCCTCCCAGCTTACCCAAAAAGCAATGTCCAAGCAGAGATCTCCAACAAAACTATCTTGGATGAAATCAAGAAAAGATTGAAAATAGCCAAGGGGAAGTGGATTGAGGAGTTTCTTAGCGTGTTG